ATATATATTATATATATATATATATATAATATATATCCTTTTATTACCATTTTTCATGCCCTAACCTTTTATATATATTATATCACATGCATATCATAATACCTTTAAATATATCACTCATAATAATTAAAACCTTACAGTGCGTTACTGGATAAGTTACATCCTGCATAAAACTGAATGATGAACTTTTTATGCTTGTAATAACTGAAATGATGACCTTTCAAAAAACATAAAATCACAATTCTTTTATATTTCAAGTCCAGATATGTTTGCTAAACATTCAAATGTAAAGATATACTGCAACCTCATCAAATTGAATTTGTTTTTTCAGTGTATATAAAATAGTGTATGTTTAACTGTAAACGTGATTTGGTTACTCTCAGAATCCCTATCAATTTTACTTGCATTTTAGCTTTTCAACAGTCTCCTGTCTAGATACTTTTTTTCTGTTTGTTTCTCATATGCACAGTTTTTAACAAAACATTTGTATTTTTTTACATGGCATTGAACAATAAGCAAATAGCAAAAATTCAACCTAAAGAAACACATGAAGACGAAATGTACAAGTTTTACATGGAACATCTATTTGCTCTCCTTCACTATCTAACCTGAATAAGGACATTCATTCCCAAATTAAAATTTAAAGAAATTATACAGTGTTTATACTATGTCAAGCATATTTTAATTAAACCTGAGTGAACTTACAGCACTTTTGGATGCCAGCTAGTACACTGCTAAACACACATAAACTTGGCACTAACTCCTTAATGTGTAGTATGATTAAATGTAACAATAAAATATTTTCACATTTTAACAAAAACAAAACAAATACTGATAACTAAAAATATTTCTTTCAACAACTTGTTAACCATTTTATTAGCTAATTTACATTCTTCAATCTTGTATATTGGAAATTCATAATGCATTATAATCTAAACTTCAACAATTATCTGGCTTCCATTCAGATAATCACTCCATGGAGGTATCTATAGCTCTCAATTTCTACTTTTTTAATAATTTTATATTATAATGATAATGTAAGATAAGTGATCAACAGATAAGTTCCTTACCGTACATTTTGCAGATAAAGGCACTTATAAATACCCTTAACACCTACAACGTTATGCAAAAATCAGTAATACTTTATTCATAATTATGAGTATTTTTACTCAGCTCATCTTTCATATCAACATGAAAATGTATTAAATTCAAGACAATCAATTGACTCCATGATGGGAAAACCACGTGGTTCATTCTAGGTGAAAAAGTTTTCAGAATGGGGATGGATAATTTTGTTCTAGAAAATAGCTTACTACAGAAGGCAAATATTTTTATCAAACAAACCACAAATATATGTACAAATCACATAAAGGTATTGAAAAAGTTTAAACAATGCCCTTCAGTTAATTAACTTGTATATGTTTCTCCATTAAATTTCACTACTATTTATACAGTTCTTGTAATAATTGTTGTTGTTTTCCTCGTAATCATCTTAGCTACTAATGCCATCTCCTGCCATCCCTAATTTCTAACTGTCAACCACAGTCAACCAGGCAGCAGCACTCACCACCAACTCTTAGGCCACTCTTTACAATCCCCCCCTTCCCTGATGAAAGGGTGAGTATATTCAGTACTGGGTTTTGATCCTACCACCTGCAGCTTGAGAGTCAAGAACCTTAACCATCAGGCCTTATTTATTAAGAAAATATTTCTGAGATTTATCAAAACTGATGAGTGTGCATATTATAGAGTGGAATGTCTTCTAAATAATGAAAATATGAAACTTTTTCCTCAGAGTATTACACATAAATTGTAATAAAATTTAATAACTACAGTGAAAAATCTTGAAGCAACCCTTGTAACCAGGAATAATTAACATACTAATATTACTGTCCTAACAGCCAGAAATAATTTTCTATGTAAAAAAAATCACTCTTTTTAATAAAATCGTTCTTATGACCAGTTAATGTAATATGATAATAAAATTACTGTTAAATGCTTTTATCCCAAATATATCTTTTTAATAAATTTAAAACTCAACAGTAAAAAATGCACCTCTCAATGTTATTCAAAATACTTTGTTCTAATAGGACTATCTTATTACTGCTCTGAAGGAAATGAGTTATTAAATATTATTATGTGGATTACCAAGAAAGGCTGTGAATGCTAGGTTTAATTTAATCATATGGTCACCAGTATTACAAATCTTAATAAGATCATTTTCTGATACAAATTTATAATAAACCTGATGGGGAAAAATATGTTGCATTCAGATGTTACTAAAGAATTTTTAGGAATGTTTTAGTAGGTTAACTGGTTTCACTAGATACAATGAGAAAAAGGAAATAGATAAAGACAACCTTGCAGTGTGCAGTACTGAAAGTGTTTGTTCATACCTTAATGAAAAAAGATAACTGTAATTTCCAAACATTTACCTATGATGACCTTTTAGTACCATTCTTATGTTCCATACAAATTCATATAGCAAGAAATCCATAATATCAGATATGAATTAAAAGAAAACAATAGCCCAATACAATCACTTAATATTTCCAAATGTTAATTTGCACTTTTATCACTTAGCTTTAACAGAATAATAAGAAAACTCAATTCTTTTATAGAATAACAGATATCCAGGTTTAATCACTTTTTAAAAATATTTTCATTTATGTAATATATATATAGGGGATAGTGCAAAAGCATTTTAACTATTCACTGAAGATTAAGGTAAGTATCAAAACTTGTTTAAAACAACCTGCAGTTGAATTCTTTGATTTAAGATGTATTTACTCAATTTCAGTTTAATTTCTTAATCAACAAGTTATGCAACAAATCATTGGGGAAAAACAAACATTTTAGAGTTTTTCTCAGAAAATTGTTGGATTTCTTCTGTGTAGTTTGAAATGATGAAATTACGTTGTTCTGGTGAATTGTGCTTGAGAAACTTCACACACACACACTAAAGAAGAATGCATGCTGAAGAGCTGCGGACACGATTATCATCTTCATAGTCTTCCTCTGAGGAATTCAGTGAGAACTTTCAATTACTAACTATATCCACAACTTATCATTTTCAGTATTTGTTGCTTTAGGCTACAAATATTTAGTTATGGGTTAACCCTTTCATTGCAAGATACTATAAATATTTAGTTATGGGTTAACCCTTTCATTGCAATATACTATAAATATTTAGTTGTGGGTTAACCCTTTCATTGCAAGATACTATAAATATTTAGTTGTGGGTTAACCCTTTTATTACAAGATACTACAAATATTTTTCTACTTTCATAATTATAAGTGAGGTATGCAAACACACAGTTTTAGTACTTGTGTTAACAAAGCTTGAATTACAGGATTTAAAGTGGTGCTCTAGGTGACACATGGTACTTATGTAGAAAAACATGTGCAGTGCATGAATGACAAATATCTTCATGAAGTTGATTTAGCTTGTATATACAAACTAAAATATTAATATAAATGAAACATAGTCTACATATAAAATAGAATATTAACATAGAGTAAGAAGGTTCTGTATACCAAACTAGGGTATCAATGTAAATGAAATTTACTATATAAGCAAATCGGTATAATACATGTAGATGAAGAATGTATGTGCAAATCAGAAAATGTACATAGACAAAAAGTGTTCATTAGAAGCACAGTCTGATGCTATGATTATCTTTATGTGATACTAATCTTTTAAAATCTTGTATTACATAAATGAAGATGTTCTTTCAATAGCCTTCATGTAGAAGCATATTAACTTCCTATTTCAAAATAACTCAGAATACATTACTCTTAAGAAGTCTTTCTATGTAATTTATAAATGAGTTAGCATATAAAAAATGTTACCCTCTACATGGATTCCTTAGATGAGCCCCTAATATACATACCCAGGCTAATTACCTGCTGAGAGCTGGGCTAAAATTGGTTCAGCAGCTTCATGGGTGCTGGCAGACATAAGATCCTTTACTAAGTAAAGGGGAACAGATCTTCGTTTTTGTTTTTCTGCTATATCGATGAATTTTTTAATGTTTTACCTTAAAAAAAAAAAAAAAAGTCCTTTCAAACAAGTGCTTAAACAACCACATTCAGTCTATGATCTTCAGTGGGATATCATATATGAGAATATCACTATTTAAGGCAAACATATAAATCTCTCTATAATAAACTATATTTAAATTACCTGCTTAAAGCAGCACTTTTGCTAATTGAAGCTCCGTAACGTGTTATATAATTAAGTGCAACAATTTTAAACACCCCATAGATGTCAAATATTGGTCTTAGAAAACGTTATCCTCACATTTTTATCAGTCTTCTTTAATATTTATTATGCAACTTATTTGTTCATTGTTACAATACTTCCAGGTGTAACTTGCATGCATTACAATGTTATCAAAATAAAAATAACCTATATGAAAAAATATAATAAACTACATTCCCATTTAACATTCTATACAGCTGCATGCATGAGAAAATATATTTATCTAATCTACTGATCAACAGTATCACTTATCCATTAACAGGTCAATCAATCCATCTATATATGTGTGAGAGATATATTTTGGTACATTTTATGCTTGTTCTTGAATTAAGTTTAATCACTGTGAAAAAAATATTTATGTTCTGTCTAAACATGCTACATACCAGACGTTGTTGCTGTCTTGCTTGCTGTTTCTTCATTAGTAGTAACTCCACAATGATACTTTGTTTATTGGGATCAACTGTCTGAAACATAATCACCAGCTGGAATGAGACTTTACACCTCTACTAATTTGAACCTTTTATATCATGTACAAACAATTTTCATAATAAAAATACATAATTCATTCGTGTGTAAAACTAGCTCACTTATTAAAAAAATACAACAAATCTTGATATTTCAGTTATAGTTTAAATAATTAATACAATTTAATGTTTACTCATGCACAAAACTATAACACAGTTGTTTAGTTAGTGAAACAAAAGCACAATATACATTAATTTTATGGTATATTTCAAGAATGACTATAATCACTAAGAAGCAAATTACAATCAAAGAGGAATTTGTTGTTTGTTGAATTTTGAGCAAAGCTACACAAGGTCTATCTGAGCTAGCCATCCCTAATTTTGAAGTGATAGATTAGAGGGAGGGCAGCTAGTTAATACCACCCACCACTAACTTGTAGGTTATCCCAATCGAATACTGAGATTTGACTGTGTGCTACTAGTATAATGCATCTACAGTACCAAAGTGCAGAGCATGTAATTGTTTCTTTTTTTGCTGCTAATGGGGCACGAGCCATATAAAGTCAGATCCACGCTGGGCTGGTACAAAGGGGAAGTAGTCTTTAAAAAGAACTTTTGAACCAAGTCATTCTTGCAGGATAGCACTACATGACACTTTTCATGGGACAGGGAATTAGTGAAAGTGCATAAATCACTTGTTTTGTAAGTAAATCATCTTTTAATCTTTCTTTCACTAACAGTATAGATTAGAATGTTTAATATAATATATTTATTATATATTGTTCATCATTATGATCATTTTTCACTGTTATCTCAGCACATGCATTTAGAACTAATCTAAATCTTCTAATCTAGACCAAATCTCTGGAAATGTTATTCAGACAACATCCAAAAATATTGTTAATAGTGAAGGTATTCAATATGAATCAGTGCATTTTATTAATTACAAGTTTTAATTTTATGACTTTGCATATACCTAGTTAGAAAAGTATATTAAATTAGCTATTTAATTATTGGGTTAATTTGTAGTTCAGGTCTATGTATATAGTTTGTTCTGATTGGAAGTTACTGATAACTGCATGGCAATGTAACATTATGGCAGATTTTCCAATGTACTATTAAATAATACTCTACTAGTATTCATTTAAAAAAAGTTTGTTTGTTTTATTCAATCATGTAGAGAGATTAAGTAAAATTTACAAAAATTATTTATTGTTGTTTAAGCTGAAATAAGAAATATACAGAGAAATATAAAATATCACATAATTAACTGTGATTTGTTTAAAATTTAATAGAACCTAATTGGTATAATCAATGCATTGTCTATATAAAGTTATGTTGTTATTGCAGTAACAAACACGTTACATACAAGTGATTTTGCTTACATGCATTACTTACTAGAATAAAGTTGAACTTGCTCTTAATGATTCAAATACACATAGAAAACAAGTTAAAGGTATTTATCTATTATACTTGGATTAGTATTTTTATAATAGAAATAAAATGTTATCAGAAGTATTAATCCACATGGAGATCTTCAATAAAACCAATGTAAATAAACATTTATTACTTTACCTTATATTTACCTGAATTAATGAAATTTTCACATGACACCTTACCCTTCAGAATATCCTTTATGCAGACACATTTAAATACACACATTATACAACTCTGCGAGTAATTATAGAAAAACCAAGATAATTAAACATACTCTTCCATTCATTCTGAAACCATCACTCAAACTGTTAGCATGGTTCAGTAAGTCAGCTTGAAACATCTGTTTAGTATTCTTCCCCTTAGATTTTGCCACAGCTGAGTTTCGAAACTTTTGTTTACCCCAAACCTGCACCATAATGGCTCCATCTTTTAAGTAGTCAACCAACTTAAAAAAAGAAAAAGCATTATCAGATGTCAGATATACTTTTGAATGGATGAACCACAAGAATATTATACTAAATTTACAAATTCAATATATGTGTACTTGTAAATATATATTATATACTATTTTTTGTAATTTATCCATTTGTAAGTGTTTCTTATATATATATATATATATGTATATATATTCTTTCCTTATATTTGTTAGTTACCTCAGAACTGGCATAATTCTTAAAGATAAACTACATTTAAATAATTATTATTCTAAAAACTTTGAAATATTGCATGGACAAACATATAAACTCATGATAAGCTATCTCTTCAAATTAGTAACATGAAAGTAAGTTGAAAAACAAGGTTGTCAAAAGTTAAGACATTACAATAGTTTCACACAGAAGAAATGTTTGAATTAATATTTATTGTGTGAGATTACAGCACCTGCATACCTTCAATGTTTCAGAATTTTTCACAAATCTACACATGTCTATATGCACATAACCATCCCTAATTTTGAACTGATAGCCTAGAGGAAGGTAGCTAGCTAGTTAACAGCATAAACTGACAACTATTCACAAACAGTCTTTAGTACGTCCATGGTCTCAAAGTTTGGAGTGTGTGTTTGTGACAAAAGGATTTGAATCATGAATTCTCAGAATCACAGTCCGGGCATGCTAACTACTAGGCTATGTCTGGTGTATAACTTCATTGTACCACTGTATATGTGTATATGGTACAAAATTGATATGTTACTTAAAACATAAGTACATGTTTAAAACAACAAAATGAAAATTATTAATAAAAATATTTAAAAGAAAAATTAATGTTTAGGGTAATTATTCTGCTCTTTGAAATTCCATTTTTGTTACTTGTCAAACTATATAAAATAATCAAATTTAAGTTTTCAATTTCATATCAAGTCAGAAATTAACATCACAATAAATCAAGGCTTAAAAATGGTGTGAGGCCTTAGGATTTTCATTTATTATAAAACCATACTACAAAATTCAAATAACATCTAAAAATTTGACAGTTATATATTTCAGTAGTTAGCTATTATGGATAGAACACAACAAAGATCTATTCATCATAACACTATTTTATTATCCTCAGTTGGACAGAAAGTCAAAGTATGAATTTCATAAAGTAACTTCACTCTTTTTTTAAACATAGAGTAAGATTTCAAAATGTTTAAGCTCAAATTGTAATAGAAACAGTTAAGCAAATCTATAAAAGACAAAGTCTTCTTAGTTTCTTTAAAATATTCAGAATATATGATTTACAAAAAATACCTGAAACTGTTTTTAGCTTCGAGAAATGCAGTTGATCAGAAAAAATAATACATGAGGTGTAACAAAATAGAAAAGTAAAATTACTTCAGAAGAAAAAACATTTTGATTTCAAGAGCACTAAATAAATTCTTCAATGAAAATTGTAATTCTAACACTGAGGACTCTTTCTAATCTCTTGTATATAAAAACAATTATAACAGTTTTGGAACTCAGATTCTTTTGCAATACACCTAGAAAAATATTATTAAAAGAATCTGAAGTAGAGAATGAAACTGTATCAGATTATATAATTTACAGAATTTCTCTTAATTAAAACAAATGTTAAATGTTCATTGATAAACTATAAATGATTGAGGAGGAAGGAAACTTTGCTAGCCAGATTAACTGATGCTATTACTAATTTTATAAAATTACCTGTTGTGTTACTGGTTTAAAAGAAAATTTTTTCTGATGATTAAAATCTGGGTTATTGGTGTTAGTAATTGTTTCTGTAACAGTGTCTTCTTCATCCAGAAACACATGATACTTGCAACGAGTATCCTATAAAAATTCAATACACAGTATAATAGATTAAACAACTTTTGATAAATTATAAACACAATATATATATTGAAAATAATTAACAAAATCTAAAATATGAGTTTTAAATGTTGATTTATATCTTCACATTATAATCAGCCTAATCATTGCAACATGCAGAGAATCAAAACAATATGCTTGCTCTTACCTTAACAAGCATGTATTCTTGACAGTTAACTTGTACTTAATGAGCATATCTCAATAATAAAAGATATTGAAAAGTATCCTGTATCTACATAGAGTTTTTAGCCTTGATCATTTTTGTACTCACTCCTACTTGTACACAATTAACAGGAAAAATCATTAATACTTGCCAATTACTAAGCTTGTCTTCTCCATGAAATATTATTATACAATGAACTTTCTAGCAATCAAAGTGATCTTGTGAATTATAAATACTGATATTTATTTACAAAAACAAACTCTGACAGTCTAATGTATGCAATACTTACTCTGTACTTATTAGGTAGGCCACGACAACCATGAATCTTCACTATGAAATGCAAGTCTTTTCCAATTAATTCACTTGGATTATCAATGAAAACATCATCATCTTCAGTATATTCCTTTCCGTCTTCAGTGCACGGTACAACTTCAACCTACAGAAATATGAAGAATCTCTTATATCCAAATGCATTTTACTTCTATACACATAACTACACAAATTAAAATATAAAGAAAATGAATTACTTACAAAGTCTAGAATATAATGTGAAAAGACCCATTTTGTTAATAAGAGACATAAACGAAGCAGAGATTATATATTTTACTCATAGGTACATAGATGCACAGAAATGTTGTACTTGGATAAATCTATAGCATTCACTCATGCAACTTTCCAATAGCTAAGACATAGAATACTATAGTATTTCTTAATGATCTTTCCACTATATGGAAATAATTAGAGAAGAAAATATTGCCAGAGATTTCTGAGTTTTTACTATAATGAGATCAAAATGAAAGATCATCAATATGACACTAATCTTTCAATAATAACAACTGAAGTTGAATTAATTCTTTACAATTTGGTACATCACCACTGAAGAATCAATTAAATAAAATATCTCAATAAATACTGTGGACAGGTGAAGAAATTACTATAACACTACCTGAAGTAAAATATAACCACTGTCTATTTGTATAAGTAGATATAAGAAACATTAATTCAGCATCCTCACAAATCCATCTTAGAGTTTTATGAATCTATGAATAAGAGACAGACAAAATTACTTATTATCAGAAAATAATATTCTAAGTTAAGTTTTTCAACAAAACAAAGATTTACGATTATATACTATTTGTAATAATAACAAACTAACAAGATATCAACAGAAAAAAAATCAATATATTATATTCAAGGTATAAGCACAGAACAAATGTATTAACATTTTATGAATTATCAATTTTCTACAATTAACAAATATTAAAATCTAAATTTTATTACATCACTTCAGTACTAACTAACATTACAAACTTATCTGATTTAGATAGATATTAACAAGTGCTTACATTCATAATTCCCACTTCTGTTCCTTTGAAATCTGTAATTTCCAACTGCTCTTTTTGTTCAACCTGGTGACAAATTAACAAAGTAGTGTAATTAAAATAAAATAATTATCATTTGAAGTTTAAAAACATTCTTCTGTACAAAACGGATAAACCATATTGCAAACCAAAGAAAGATGATTTCATGTTAAGTTTTAAAAAACTGTATCAATTTCAGAAAACTTCTTACAGTTCACGTGTTTCTAGTGCACAGTCCCAAGTTAGATTTCTAAGTAACATATCTGAAGGATAGCTGAACCTATGAAAATTATAACTAACTGTTGAATCCAAAAATAATATGAATGAAAATGTCGGGATAAAAAGGATGTACAAGACTTTGGATTTTACTTAAATAGCTTTAAAATAAGACCCTAATTAGGGAATATATATATATGATTTATACAATGATGCAAAATGTTTTGTTCATTTTATTGCTTAAAATATCCTACTATCATAATATGAAGATCATTAAATGAAACATTTCTATTTTCTTCAGCAATAAAATGTAATAGCATATGCAATGAAAACCTGAACATGAGTAACTGACAATATGACAATTTTTTCTTTAGGTGAAGAAAGTTTAGTCAGTAATAAGAAATGGATAGGTTTTCCTTTCATTCTAAAGCTGTTCTTTCTGTGAACTTTATTTACATAGGAAAAATATAGTTCACTACTATTTGTTTTAGAAAAATTAGAAACTAATTATTCTAAACAAAACCAAATACACTTTAAGATGAAATATATGATAAGGGTTGTATTTTTCTGTTTCTTTTTAGAGGTTACGCATTAGTACATGTAAATTTAATATCCAAAAAAGTGACAGTACAGCAACAAAACTGAAAAGGAAATAAAAATAATCACAGACTGAGAAAGTTAATATAAGATTTTGAGAAAAAGGTACACTACACAATAAAAAATCACTAGTTTTAGTACAACCTAAAATATATATGTTTTTGAAACATTTTGATATAATAAAAAAGACGAGTACAGGATTACATGTATTCATTTGTATAATTACATCAAAGACATGGATGCAACTCCAATAAAGTGACTGGTCAATTTAAAATGTAATCAGCATTCCTCATTTACCAGTACAAGAGAATATGGTCAGTGATCCCAGAGGGATTAGGGAAAGGGTGAGAAAGTATTATAAAACATTTCCCAATATGTCTCAAATCAACGATACTTTTCTCAGCCTTACATCCATGAATGTCTCTAAATAATGAAAGATGGAATAAGATAAATAAAATAAGTCAAGATTTTCAAGTCTTACTAGAAAGGCTAAGGGCTGTAGAAAAATCTGAACATTGCCAATGCGAACTTCTGTGTCGATGTCTTCTAAAAATGGATCTCTCTCCTAAAACACAAAACAATACAGACTTACATAAGTACATGTAATAATCAACTTTTTGAAGTATTATCTTTTAATATGCATAGTTATACTAATCAGGCTATTATTATTTTATATAGATTTGAATTCAAGTATATAAAACGTTTACACTTTGTCAAAGTTTCAAAATATATAATCACTTTTTGTTGTTCTTTATTCATATATAGTATCCAATATACATGTTGTTACTTACCTCAGGTAAGTCCCAATCTTCTCCTGACTCATAATTCTGATACATTTCTTTCATTAAATATAATCGATTAAGGAATACCTCTTTTGGCCATTCAAATTCAAGTTCATTCTCCAAATTACGCATCTTAACAAGAACCTGAAACACAAAACTAGATATTAAATTCTACCAAAAATATTAGAAAAATTTATGATAAAAATATAAGCTACTTGCAAGCTTGCAAAATGTTTTTAAATTCTCAATGCTCTAGTAACTTTTTACTGATGCTAAGACTATTTTTTAAGTGTTTGAAAAATAAAAATAATAAAGAGAAAGTTTGATTAAAAATGAAGCATTATCTGAATTATTGCTATATTTTTGAAAATAATTAGTTTTAATGTTAGGGAAAACATGTATTTGTGTTTATAGAGGTCTTAAATAACTAGTGAATGTGGAATTTTATAGCAAAATATATGATTAATAGCTTCTTGGTCAGTAGAGCTGCAAGGTCCCAGTAGTTTTCACTTTAACAGAGTTACTGAGTGAGATGAAGACCTTCAAAAGTAGGAGAGAGAAAATGTGAAACCAGCTTAAAGAACCACACAGAAACATTGGAGTTATATGCATGGCACGAGATTTGAAATAAGGAACCTTTGTGATGTGCATTATGATTTTGTAGATGAAACAAGAAAAAGCCATTTAATCTACAGTGGAAAGGTCAAAGCTTAATCACTTAAATACAGGGAGCTTAATATTCGCTTTTGCAACATGTGAGCCTAAGATAACTTACCATCCTGAGCATTCCATTCATGCTCCCATCCTACATACCCATGCATAAGTTACCCTTCCCTTTAGCCTTCTTTTTGTTCTGTATATAAGCTGGTAGTCTGAGTATAAGTGTCTTCACTGACTAAGTTCTAGAGACACTAAGTTTTAAGTGAGTTTCAACAAGTACTAGTAGAATAGCTTTCTCAATTTCCTCCCATTAAAGCTCAGGTCACAAATAATAACTCAACTGTAATATATGAGAGTTACATTATTATAATAAAAGTTTAAAATCAGGTTAACTAATATTTTGTAGTATTTGAAAGTGCAAACTGACCTAGATCCTTGCGGAATACACTGTTGATTATTTGTATATTTATATTTTATGTGTCATTAAAAGAATAAATAGTTTTAGTATGTATTATTGAATACATCTGTAAAGTTACTTATACTCACTAGGTGGAGCAAACTAAGAATGTCATCCTAATTTTAAATATAAATAATCCTATAGCAAAGATGATTGAAATACTGTTGTTTTCCTCATTTCACCTCATTGTTCAAGTTCACAAAGTCTTCCAAGATTTAACTGTGCATACTCTAATTATAGATACAAAAAAGTATAATTTATTAGTTTTAAAGTATACAAAATGATATGGCAAAATCAAATAGAGATTTGTATAACTGAACCTGAAAGTAAAATAGACCCTAAACTGAAAACTCTGGTTTTTTCATTAGAATTTATAAGCACTTCATGTAACTGGCACATTATCTGGCACAGAATTAATTCAGCTAGTACATCCATATGTTTAACTAATGTTACATCATTATTTCATAGCTTCCTTGATGCCTTTGGTGAAACAGTCAGATATTTCTTATTGGAACAAAATTAAAAAAAAGTGTCATACAAAGACTAAGAACATGCAGGTAGTGAAGCAGAATGCATAACTAGGGTTTAAAATAATTTATGGTTTTCAGTTTCTTAGCAGTATGTTTTTTAAAGATAATACAGGAGAATAAACCACCAAACACTATATTGAAAGTGATTACACCATAAAACCACCAGATCAGAAAATTTATAGCTACAGCATAGCAGCTCATAGAATGCCTCTGAGTTTCTTTCAAGTACAAACTTTTAGCTCATAGCTCTGTCATCTCTGACTGATTTGAGAACTAATTACAGTTTTGGATTCAGGAGGTCAAACCTCTTTCAATTGATGTACTTGATTATACCCAAGGTCTCATAGATTAATCTATTCTAATCCTGCTTGAGGAAGCCAGGAAGCACTGGGGACTCAAGAACTTACTGTCTCTTTGAGTATCTAAAAGTAGCCAATAAGGCCACCTGATATCAGGTGATTGTTGAAAGATGCAACACCCTTGTCAATGAGCCAGGTCATAAACCAAGCTATAGTTGATAAGTCTGGATGAAGTGAGTTCAACCTCCTTACAATACACCATTGTCAATATGTGTGCCATTTACACTGATAAATATTCATCGTGGGATGACATAGAGACTGAAACAGGTACATGGCAACCTTAGATGTTAAACTCTTACACAGTGTGAAGGACCACATAACCTCCACATATGAAGCTTGAGCTTCGGGATGGATGAGTGTAAGATGTCGGATTGTGGCTGCCTTGACAGAGCTGGCCAAATAGGAAGTGGAAGAGGTGAGCACTTCTGAAATTACCTCAGAAGCAGAAACCAGGGTTGAGTCAGCCAATCCAGTGCTACCAACAGAATGTTACCAGGGGTTGTACAAATCATTGCTAGGACTCTGGGTAACAGACAGATAGGTGAATAGGCATATAGGTGCAATCCAGTCCAGTCCTGACCAAATGCATCTACTGCCAAATCCTGAGAGTGAGGTACCAGAGACCAAAATGTTGGTAGTTGAGTGTTCGAATGAGTGGTAAATGCATCAACCATTGGTGTCCCAATCCATGAGCAAATCCAATGGAAAACTGTTTGATGAAGCATCCATTCTGTTGGGAGAATCTGCCACCAAGTTCATCACCCATATAGTAGGATGATATGATGGGATTGTGCCCAATATAGAATATCCAAGGTTTGAAAACAAAGAGACCTGTACTGAATGTCTTGATGGGAAATGTAAGACACCACTGTAAAACTGTTGGAGTTTGAAGCATGATGACTTTGCCCTTCAATAATTCTAGACCTTGAGACATCGCTCTATGAACAGCAAGAAGTTCAAAAACATTGATGTGGAGGAAAGCCTTATTGTCTCTTCATAGACACTGAAATTCCTGGTATTTGAGGCATCCATGAAACAATGGCATGCTGGACAAGGTGGAAGCAGAGGAACACACGATTGTAGTATTGTTCCAATCTAACCACCACTCCAGATCAAAGATGTTGGTCTTGAATAAGGAAACTGGGGAATCCAGTGGTTCACTGTTAATGATCCATTGATTGCATAGAGACCATTGAAGGGATTCATGTGTACTTGTCCCAAAGGAATGAGGGATTTAAGTGATGCTCACATCCCCAAAAGATAAAGAACAATGGGAGAAAGAGATGTGAGTAAGAGTCAGACTGCTTGTACTATAGCATGGAGCTGGATGAGAGTCAGCTGAGCCCGACTGAGATACGTGTTACAAATGACACCCAGATGGATGATATATTGTGTTGAAGTGAGAAAATATGTCTCTGCTCTGATAAGAAATCCTGCCTTGGTTGCTTTGGAAAGCAGTATCTGGGTGTGACATATTGTCAACTGGTGCCAGTAGTAGCCAGACATCCATGGAATGGTGTGAACCTAGGCCTATGGAATGGAGGTAATAAAAAATGTTAATCTGCTATGTTAATATAGGATAAGAGCTGTGTATTCCTTTTAAGACAGGATCTATTGCCTTTATAGGGAAAGCACCATTCCCTATAAACATAACAATTACATTCCCCATTCCATAACAATGATGAAAAGCAGATAAGCCTATCAACCTTTAGAGGCATGGCAAATAAGGACTTGAAACATTTCAAAATCTAAAAAGAGTGGAAAGCATGAGATGGTAGAGATTGCTGATGAATTTATAGGAACAGACAACTGCCTGGTTAGGATGATAGTTACTCACCATCAGGCAGACAAGGTAATGTGTGTTTAGAAACAACTACTATCTTGCCAAACTTAAACAGAGCAAATGTTGAAATATGAAATAATATAACCATCAGAGCATGCTTAGTTATCTCTACTAGTGATTTTAAAGAAAAAAGAGAGGATATCAAGTTTCTGTATTGATTTTAAGTGAATCAATGCAATCAAATACGCTGACACATTTCCATTGTTAAAAATTGTATGACAAACTGGAGGGTCCCTATTGATTCAAAATGTTAGACTTGGCACTTGACTACTGGCAATTAATGATGGACAATGAAAGCAGACTTAAGACTTTTTATAGCACTCAAGATGGTTTGTATAAGGTAATGCCATGTCATTTATTCTGTTTAATATACCATTCACTTTTAAATGGCTAATTGAATGTACACTCTGAGACTTGTAATTGAAGAGATGTTTCATGTAGGTGGAGACATAGATATTTGGCTGCAAGTTTAAGTCTGCTACTGAGAAGCTGAGAATGGTATTTCAGTGAGAAAAAAAAGCAAGCTTGAAGTTGGGAAAGTATGAACTTGTGTATGTGAGTGTGAATTTTCATCATCATTAGGGGTAAAAGTGTTGTTCAATGATTCAAAAAAGTTTGTAGTGGTTAAGGATTGATCCTAGCTAGTGAGAAGAAAATGTCTGCAGCTTTCTAGGTTTTTCGTTGTATTATCCACATTTTGTGGATAATGTTTCCAAGACAGCTATAACATTGTTTACTTAGTCTAAACTGAATCTCATTTTAGAAATACTGCAAACAAGCATTCTGGTCTCTAAAATGTGCTTTGGTAGGTTTTCCATGCTTCACTAACCAAAGCAAGATTGTTCAGTCATTCTAGAAATAGAGTCAGAAGAGTGTTGTAACAGATGTAAGAAAATATGAAGACTTTAACTTCACATGTCAGAGGTACACTTAAGGCTTCCAAATGCTGGCACTATATGTCAACAAATAATTGTTTGCAGCTATAATATTTGTCAAACTGATATGGTTGATAAACTTCAAACACCCAGAAAATAAGAAGGTATGCTGGATTACAATGTTGCAAGAGTATAACATACTTGTACAGAGTATGTCATTGTCTGGAGTAGCAGCACAGTTAAGTAGACAGATTATCTTATAAATAGTGAGAAACTGTTTTGCTGAATGATCAGGACCTGGATATCATGCACCTTTAAAAGCAATTACAGACGATAATAATTTCCCCAATGGAAATATTCCAAATCTATCATAGAAGCTACTGCATATGCTTCCAAGATTAAGTGTGACTTTTTCAAAGT